GCTCGTCCCGCTGAAAGGCTTGCTTCGACGGCGCGGCTTCTCACTCCGGATCCAGCAATGCGTGTGCTTCGCTGAAGAGGTAAAAATCAGCTTGTACCAGCCTAACGAGCATATTTATAGGGTGAGACCACGCCCCTTCTGGCGGTACGTGACGATATGGGCGCGAATGGCCCCCATTGGTCATTACGTCACGCAGAGTCTCTCTCGATAGGCTGCTGCATTTGCTGCAGAGCAGCCAATAGGCGCGCGAGCTGTTTCGCCTATGTCTGCTTGCTGCTGCAAAGCGTTTTACATTATTAAAAAATTAAGGATAATTTTTGGCTTCAATATCTCGCGGAAAAGAGTTTTTCCCCTAGCGTAAGCTATTACGCAGTACGAGAGATACTCAGACTACAGACTGCCCTCTACTTATGTAATCCGTATGAAATGTGCATTTCTCTCTGGCGCGTTTACTACTGAAGATCGCGAGTCAGCATTGTCAACTTCATCTAGCCGACACTGACAAAGAAAACACTTGTTTATTAACTCCTTGCTATATTTTACATATTCATAATCATTCCTTTTGCCGGTTCTTTGTGACAGCTTTTAGGTGCTTTATTGGCAGCGCCACCCTTACATGTGGTGTGTGTGTGTGTGTGTGTGTGTGTGTGTGTGTGTGTGTGTGTGTGTGTGTGTGTGTGTGTGTGTGTGTGTGTGTGTGTGTGTGTGTGTGTTGTCCCCGCATTTAAAGATGGGACCCCCCAAAAATGTAATTAAATTAAATAAAGCAACATGGTAAAAAGATGAAAATTACTTGATTTTACTTTCAATTCCTTTTACATTCTCCAAGGTATTAACATTAACATTTTTCATTACTCCATGTAGGACGTTTCTGTGCAAAAATGTAAGCACTGTGGCAGTAGATTAGTAATGCAATATTTAGAAAATCTACTCTTGTACTCTTGATACTCAAGTACTTTTAAAAACAAGTACTTTAGTACTTTTACTTAAGTAGACATCTGAATGTAGTACTTTTACTTGTACTTGAGTAAAATTTAGCAAGGGGTATCTGTACTTTTACTCAAGTAACAAAGCTCTGTACTCTGTCCGCCTCTGGTAATTTGTAACTAGTAGTTTGATAGCCACAGAAATTAAGATCTCCCTCTTTTCGTTTTCTTTCTTGCTGCTCCCGACGAGCTGGATTGCACCTTGCATGGCTGACACCGGCGTCGGTGTATGAATGAATTGAAATCACATGACACAGGATTTCTTTGAAATAACACGACAAAGCAGAAAGAGAAAGTGTTTGTATTTGTACATTAATAAAAAGTGTGATGTTTTGTGAAATTATGATAGAAATAAGTGCAAACAGTTTTGTACAGAACCTTTATTTTATGTATTTGATAGATTGTCACCTTTCAGTCATATCATTACTTTGAAATGTACTGAAGACATTGAGTAATCATTCACAGTAGTAGTTCAGGTTCTTCAAAAGAGGAAATTATACAAGTGTGTACATGCCAAATCTGAGACGTTGCAATTGTTTTCTGACGGGTGATATGTGTTATGTCTTCAATGACATGAAGCACAAGCAAGTATAATTCTCTTAAGAAACTCTTTAATAACTTATGCACTAGCAGGACAACATGCAAGCACATGTTCAGCATTCACTCTTGCTCTCCTCCCTCCTACTTCACATGTATCTCTAACCTAAGGAGCTTGAGTGCCATCTAGTGGAGTATTGATGTAACGACATCACATTTTCCCCTCTTAGTTAAATGAATTCTTTCTGGAGCCAACAATTGACAGGAAATAGAAATAAAGAACATTCAATCCTTAATGTGTCAACAATTTCACATGTATAAGAATACACTAAGCAACACATTACATGAATGCAAAGGTGCATTTAAAAGAATATGAACAAAACTACTCAACTGCTATTCAGTACTTGAATGTTTATGCGTGTGCAATGTGTGTGCAAAAGTCCATGTCAGTTTTTTTCTTTTTTTTTTCCTTGTGACTAATAAACATAGTCCTTTAGCCAACCTGGCTCACGTCTTTGACGTGTCTCACGTGAACAAACATCAGGGGACACTGAATTTCCAGACAGTGGAACTTGAGAGGGAATCAGGTTTTCTGCATTTGTGGTCAGTCTATTATCCATTGCATTAGTCGGCACAGGTGCGAGACATGATGCATGCCACTTCTTTCCATCTTCTAAGAGGTAGGTGTAAGGGCCAACTTTTTCTCTAACCTCAACTGGAGGAGTGAATTTTGGGTGTCCTTTTGGTACATGTACTGACTTTTTTATGCGCACTTTATCCCCTTTTCGGAAAGAAGAATGATGCACTCGATGTTTGTGATCAAAGCGAGCTTTCATGACATCCTGATGCGCTGAAACACGCTTCTGCAGTTGTTTAGCTTCATGACCAGAAGGTGAGGGTTTCAGGACATTGAGGCGGGTACGCATTTTCCTCCCGTGAAGCAATTCGAAGGGGGAAACACCTGTCACAGCATGAGGTGTAGCACGATAGATCTGCAGGAAGTCAGTTACTGTTGCTTTCCATGGTGCTGATTGTAGGATTGCTGATTGAATTGTACTTTTCAGAACTCTGTGAAAGCGTTCAATAGCTCCATTTGCAGCAGGATGATACACTGATGTGCGAATGTGCTTAATGTCTCTGTTTTTCAGGAAAGCAGCGAACTCTGGTGAAGTAAACTGAGGCCCATTATCACTCACCAGAGTGGTCGGGTTGCCATGTCTACTGAAGACGGAGGTAAGAAAAGCAGTCACCTGTTTTGTTGCAATAGATGCAGTAAAGGCTACCTCGGGCCATTTACTATAGTAGTCAGTGAGTGTCAGAGCGTATCGACAGTCCCAAACAGCAGTCTCGAAAGGGCCCACAATGTCTATCGCCAGTTTTTCCCAAGGTGCAGATGGTAAAGGAACAGGCTGGAGGGGCACAGCAGAGGTTTTCGCAGTTTTGTCCAGAGAAAGACATAACTGACAGGCGGTAATCTTTTGTTCCACAAGCGTGTCCATTCTGGGCCACCAATACATTTCACGCAGGCGTTGCTTTGTTCTCACAATCCCCTGATGGCTCTCATGTGCAATGCGGATCAGTGACTCTCGAAGTTCTCCAGGTACCACCAGTCGAGACCCTCTAAACACAAAATCAGCTTGCACACTGAACTCATGTCTCAGTTTGTAATATGGGCGTAGAACAGGATCCAGAGCAGCAGGAGATGGAGGCCAGCCACGGACAATTTGTGTGCGAAGTGCAGAAAGTTCAGAACAACTAGCAGAGGCAGCAGCAAATTCATCCTGAGATATGGCAGTCGGACCAGTGGACAGTAAAGCAACAAATTCGGGCTCTGTATCTGACTCAGCGTCCGAAGTCAGAGGCAAGGGCAGGCGGGACAAACAGTCTGCAGTGTAATTTTGAGATCCAGCACGATACTCAACCGTGTAATTAAAACAGAGCAACCGAGCAGCCCACCGAGCTATGCGCATGCCAGCTCTATCAGTCCCTTTTGTGGTCAGCAGCGTCGTCAAGGCTTGATGGTCAGTCCGCAGAGTAAATCTGCGACCCCACAAGTATGTCCTCCACTTCTCCACTGCCCAAACGCACGCCAGAGCCTCCTTTTCGACAGTGGAGTATTTTTGTTCAGCTGAGGTGAGTGTTCTGGATGCGAAAGCGACAGTACGTTCTTGACCATCAGAGCTTATTTGTGCGAAGACAGCACCTAGTCCGTAAGCGGATGCGTCAGTAGAAATGACCACAGGCAGCTCGGGGTCAAATAGTGCAAGAGCAGGACTGTTTACAAGTAGCTTTTTGACTTCAGCTAAGCTTTGTTGAGCTTCATCGGACCAGTGAAATCCACTCTCATCTCTCAGGCACGCACGCAGAGGCATCACTACGGAAGCGAAATTAGGAATAAATTTGTTGTACCATGAGAGGAGACCCAGCAGAGAACGTAACTGAACAGCATCCGATGGCGCAGGTGCATTGATTATTGCAGAGAGATGTTCCTGATCCAGCTGAATACCCTGAGATGTCACCATGTGTCCTAAAAACTTCAAGCTCTGCTTTCTGAATTGACATTTAGACTCATTCAACACCAACCCAGCATCTTTGAGACGTTGTAGCACATTCTCTAGCGCTTGATCATGCTCCTGTAGTGAGCGTCCCCACACGATGATGTCGTCTAGATAGTTTGCAACGTTCTGGAGTCCTTTTAGAATGACAACCATCATCTTTTGGAATGCAGATGGAGCAGATGCCAAACCATAAGGTACCCTGCGGAACCTGAAGAGGCCCTCGTGCGTAATGAACGCAGTTAGGTCCCGGCTGTCGTCATGAAGAGGTACCTGATGATATGCACTTTCTAAGTCTATAGTTGAAAATACAGTTGCACCTTGCAGTAATGTCATCATCTCCTCCATGTGTGGCAATGGGTAGCTGTCTACTATAACTGCCTTGTTGGGCCCTCGCAGATCTACACACATGCGGATCCCCCCTGTTTTCTTTTGGACCACAACAATCGGAGAAACCCATGGAGAGGAGTCAATTCTTTCAATTACACCTGCATGCAAGAGTCGTTCCAGTTCTGCGGAAACAGCATCTCTGACAGAAAAAGGTAAACGACGCAATTTGTATCTGACAGGAGGTACTGAGTCAGAAATGTTAACCTTGTGTGTAAAATTTTTTACACAGCCCAATGCAGTACGCTGTGATGGAGGAGTGGAGAGGGCACAAACTGAAGCGGATTGTGGCGGCGGCAGCACAGTGTTTCCATCGAATCGAAGCTGGAGTCCCTTAATCAGGTCCATGCCTAACAAAGCTGTGCCATTGTCAACAATGAAGAAATGTGCAGGACAGGTAAGGCCATATTTAGACACTGTTGCAGGTAAACATCCAAGCACTGAAATTGGCTCTTGCAAATAAGTGACTAAACGGGCAGATGGAGCTTGTAACGGCACAGTGCGAAAGTGCTGCTCATACAATTGTTTTGGCAGAATGGACACTGATGAACCAGAGTCGACTGTGAGTTGAAGAGACACAGGTGTAACAGCAGACGTAGCATGTATAGTTACATCACACATCAAACGATCAGATGTTCCAGGTAGATGGAGAATACAAACCTCTGGTAATTCAACTGAATGCACTGAACGAGTAGGAGCAGAACGGCAGACTCGTGCAAAATGTCCAGTCTTATTACAATTTTTACATTTAGCAGATGCAGCAGGGCAGTTCTGTGCGTTTGCAAGATGTCCAGTGGAGCCACAGCGGAAGCATGTCCGAGCTGAAGACGCAGTATGAGGTTTTGATGAGGTACGTGTTTTGAATTTGGCCTTTGAATGCTGTCGTCCAGACGCAGGAGTGGCATGTACGGCTTGTACTGGAGCAGAACTGCTTGTAGTCATAGATTTTGCCTGTGCATCAGCGGCCTCTAGCTGCGTGGAAATTGTAATTGCAGTCTCTAATGTCAATTTAGATTCCAGTAATAATCTTTCACGACTGCGAGGGTTAGCAATATTTTCTACTAGCTGGTCACGCAGCATATCATCAAGATTGTCATTAAATTCGCAAGTAGTTGCCAAATCTCTCAATGCAGCAATATATTGCAGTACCGTTTCATCTGTCCTCTGCACTCGTTTCCTGAAGGCATGTCTTTCCACGACCACATTTCGTTTTGGAATGAAATGCTCCTCCAAAGCTTTAACAGCAGCTGCAAGATTGTCACCGGTATCGGGCAATGTATAAAATAGTCTCTGACCTTCAGTTCCGAGGCAGTGAAGAAGTAAAGCCCGTTTTCTGGCTTCTGGCCAGGAATCTCCAGTAGCATTGATGACGAGCATGTAATTCTCAAACATTCTCAGCCATGTAACAAGTGGTATAGCGGGCTCACCGGGACAAGGCAAAAATGGACTGGGAAACGGAGCACTGACTGATGCCATCCTCAGGAAATCTTGTGGGAAAAAAAATCGTCCTCGTCGCCAAATTTGTTATGTCTTCAATGACATGAAGCACAAGCAAGTATAATTCTCTTAAGAAACTCTTTAATAACTTATGCACTAGCAGGACAACATGCAAGCACATGTTCAGCATTCACTCTTGCTCTCCTCCCTCCTACTTCACATGTATCTCTAACCTAAGGAGCTTGAGTGCCATCTAGTGGAGTATTGATGTAACGACATCACAATATGGATCATGTTAGGAGGGGTCAGGGGGTTTCTCCCCCTGAAATTTTTTAAATTCTGGCTGCTAAACATACCATTTCAATGCAGTTTGGGAGGGACAGAAATACCTTAACGGAGCTAGCAGCAACACTCCTCTATCTGATTCTGAGGACTAAGTTAAAGTATCTATTTTGTAAGACAGGTTGATGAAAGAACTGTAAGCTCAAATTCAAAAGCTTTTAAAGTCTACTTCATTAAAGCATGTTTACAGACACACTTAGGCCTACTGTACACTTAGGCCTACTACACATGATTTTAAAAACAGTACCATTGCAGTTTTTATGTTATGATTTTAAATTGGTATGTGACCTAAGAACGATCTTACATTAAAGGTATGATAAAGGTGCTGAGGTCTGACTTTGTGGTGCTCTGAAATTAAGTTCTTTTAATATTAATGTGATGAAGGACTTTGAAAGAAGTTTGACACATTTCAGTGCTGAATAAGATTAACACTACCCCGTTTATTTGAATCAGATAACGTTACTATGGCTTATTGGCTTTGTATGGCAGGAAGTAACGTTAGCCAACTAGTTTACAGTTAGACTAGGCTAGCTATCGATAACGTTACACTGACACAACTTAAGTTAATGCTCTGAATTCGCAGCTAATATCAAATGCATAACTTTTTGATCAAGTTCAAATTTCCAGGTCAACCACAAATAATCCCACTACCTTTTAATATCATCCTATAAAAAATTCAATGCCGATTTGTTGCTTTGCCCACTTACCACTTCAAGACCATCTGTAAAACATTGCCAGCTCAACGTGCGAGACGAGTGATTTGTTTGAACATACACAGCAAAGATTCTAGAGCGCAACGCGCGTAGCGCTCTTTGATATACACAGACACCATAGGAAAAAGGGCCGGGCTGATGCTGGCCGATTTATTACACATCTAGAAGAATACATTTGAGTCGTTATAGGCTCTGGTAATTATGGAGCATAATAGGAATAAAGTTGTGACAAAAAAATTATCAGGGAGGAAAAACTTTGAATGGGCATGACGCCACTGAGGCTTTATACAGTAAAATACTGGTAACACTGTTATTAAGTTTTTTTTTTTTTTTTTTTATGTTCTCAATATCTTGGGAGAAAACATTCTTGTAACATTATTTAAACATTGGAATCATTCAGATCTTCTTCGTCTAAACTGAGCCGTCTATGTGGGGAGTGAAGCAGCTCAGTAGGCTGTGAAATGATTAGTTAAATCTGTGATCAATTCTATTAATAAAAAACTGTACTTTACATGATGGTTTACTGCTTGAAGATTCTCAGTCTTAAGGAGGCGCCAGATCTTCACTCAAACTCAAAAAGATTGTTGTGACTCATATCTATTTAAAAAGGAATGGGGGAGTTTTTATGGGAGTCCCACAGCTCTCAACTGTGATTTGAGATATTTTTTTTGTCGGTTTTTGGGGTATAAAAGTACTTTGGGAGAAGCTGCACTTTTAGGACTGAAGCACAGCTCCGGCGACACCACCATAGACCTATTGAGCTTTTAAGACTTGCGGCAACCAGAAATGTCTGAAAACCGAGAATTAAGCAGCAGTGCACATGAAGGTAACTCTATTTTAATAGTTTAATATTTTACCAACGTCAACAAAATAATAGGCCTACTAAAATGTAGAGTTTACATTTAAACAAACTACACACAAAAAAGTTATAGTGTATTTTGTATATCTAACTTTGGTAAATGTTGTGTGTACTGTATACATAGGTGTGTGTAAATTCCCAAGCACTCTTTGAGAGTGTGTTGTGTGGGACTGGTGAATGTTGTTATATGAATGTACGGTTAAAAAACGGCAGCTTAGTATTAAACTTTACTTTATTATGCTTTCAATACACAGCGAAATCCCCCGTGTTAAATTAACACCCCTTAGTGTACATACAGGGTGTTAAAATGAAAACTGAAGCAGCGTTGAAGTTAATGAGATAATTAAGAGATTATTGACCATTAGTTAGAGTTAGCATTAGATTTTTTTCTCATTAGTAATGGAGAAACACAATAACTACAACTGACTTTCCAGCCATTACACATGAATGCACTTATGATGAACAGTTTTACTTTATTTCTGTCATACATCTACTAAAGTTCTTATTGAGATTTAACTCAGCAGCTTGTGAACATGTTTTAAGAGAAAACTCTTAAGAACTTGTACTGCTATTTAGGAGAACTCTAGTGGAAAGATCAAATGTTTTGTGAATACGGCCACTGGTTAGTAGACTAGAAAGTGAAGCTGGTAATGCTGTTTGTGGAGTTGTTTAATCCTCCTCTGCTGAGATCTTCACAGATATAATTTCTTTTTTTTTTATCAGTTTATTTAATCTAAGGCTATAGTTGAAGTCAGTTGTAGTTCTTGGCCGTGTCCGAAATCACCCCATCTGCCCTTAAACAGGGCAATATTTGAGGGGACAGCCATTTGTCCGAAATCATAGTGGACATTATCGAGTGCACTCATTCAATCACACAATGCACTGCACAATACAACAGCTAGAGAATACCCATAATGCACTGTGACGGTCGCTTCAAATGAATTATCGTGTCTGGCGAGAAGATGGCACCCACAGCTAATTCATCCATCCAATCTCCAAACCGCTGGTCTAATGTGGCTACAGATGACATTTTCTTTGTAGTTTACTCATTCTTTCTTAGTAGTAGTAATGAAAAGATTTATCCTCAACTCTGTCATGGAACCTAGCATGTATAAACCCTAATTAAAGGGGTGATGAACTGAGAAATCAAATTTTCCTTGAGCTTTTGACATCTAAGAGGTCATCATATTATAAGAATATCCTGTAAGTTTCAGAACTGAAAACGTCCTTGTTAGTCCAATAAAAGCTTTTATTGACACCAGGCTCAGCAAACGACTCGTTTTTCAAAGTGGGGAACTATGACGACAAAGAGGATAAAACACCACCCCCGCAGAAGAAGATCAACGCCTACTTCAACACGGCCGGTTTAGCCCCGCCCACCGATTCGCGCATTACACGAAACTCATTATAATATGCAAAACTGTTATCCACTCACAGCAGTGGGCGTTTACTTCCAAGTCTTCAATGCGAGACGTCCATAAAAACCGAGCGTTTTTGAGCTAGGCTCAAAACTAGGGTAGAAAATAGCCTATTACTTATTCATTTTGATGTTTTTGAATGTAAAAACCAAGCGAACGTCATAAGTTGACCTCAGACAACAATATAAAACAATTTAAAAAGCCAGTTCATGACCCCTTTAAACAATTTAATGATTATTATAATATAATTTATGCCTGCATGATATTACGCAATAATCAAACAGAAACTATAAACTACTACACAAATTGTAATAATGGTGTACCAATACATACTGTATAGGCTTTAAAAAAATTACAGGGTACATATCTATGCATTTATACAGTAATCTTTTAAACAAAAGTGCACTGAAACCTAAACCTATTGCAAGTTTTGCTTAAATATTGGGGAAAGATACTCTTGCTTCATTAGTGGTGCTTGTTACCCTCTTGTTCCATGTAGTTACAGGGTAAGTACAATAAACAGTAAGTACATAAAATAATCAAAAAGACACCTATGAGGTTAATTCATTTGTTTGTTGGTTTTAAATGTCTGCCCATATGCACTGCATTAATGCTAATTTGTTTTAGTTTCAGATTTCCCAGGGAAATTAAAAAAAGAAACTTCAAAAAGGCCAAGCACACGCCTTGCATCAGCTGGTGTTGATCTAGTCGACGTCATAAACGTAATTGACACATTTGACAGACCAGCAGATGCCAGTGCAGAAGGCCCCTATGCTGGAACTGGAACATATGCAGTAGCTTTTGAAGACGAACCAGGGAAGAGAATCCCCAAGGCTGGAGCTTTTGCAGAAGCAGGAGTTGGACGAGCTCATGCTGAATTCAGTATATTTCAGGCAGAAGCCAAAGGGCCCAACGCCTCAGCTGGTGCTGAAGCCAATGTGGTTGGAGCCGGAGCAATGGCTCGAGCTGAAGTCGGCAGTGCATCAGCCAAAGTCGGTCCAGTTGGTGTCAAAGTGGGACTAGGAGTTGACACGGGTGCATCTGTTGGTGCTGATGGGTTGGAGGTCAAAGTCCTGGGAACTGGATTCAAATTTGGTCCAGAACCCAGTTTATCTTTTCTGGGTTCAGAAGTGTCATGTTGCGTCATGTAATGCTATAAAATCCTGAAGACAAAAACAGTAACCTGAATATATATATTAACTTGGCCCCTTACTGTTTTAATGTAGTATTAGTCTTGATGCTTAGCTAAAACACATAATTATACTTTAACAATATAAAAACGTCTCAGGTTACGTATGTAACCCTGGTTCCCTGAGAGGGAACGAGACGCTGCGTTTGAGACGCGGTGGGAACGCTCTGCGTGATTGCGTCATGAAGCACGTGTAAAATCAGTCCAATGGAAGCCCGATACGTCATAGGTGACGTCATAGACCAGGAAACTATAAAGCACCCTTGAAAACAGACCGCGACAGCTTCTGAAAAGTCTGAAGTAAGTCGATCAGGGTATGCAGGAAGTATGGCAGGCAAACGCAGCGTCTCGTTCCCTCTCAGGGAACCAGGGTTACATACGTAACCTGAGACGTTCCCTTTCAAGGGAACTTCGAGCTGCGTTTGAGACGCGGTGGGAACCCCATACCCACTACGCCATAGTGACAAATGCCCGTTCTGTGTGAAGTCCTTGCGCACACTAAGAAGCAAGCAACCTCGCCCCAGGAGTGGAGAGGTCAAGGTCATAAAACCTGACAAATGTATGTGGAGAGGACCAACCTGCCGCATTACAAATGTCAAGAAGGGAAACACCCGAAATTAAGGCCGTAGAGGCCGCCATACTCCTTGTAGAATGGGCCCGTACAGCCATAGGTGAAGGCTGACCGGCCGCTTCATAAGCCAATGATATAGCCTCAACTATCCATTTGCTCATAACCTGTTTAGATGCAGGGCACCCTCTTCTGAGTGACCCAAAACATACAAATAACTGCTCTGACTTACGCCACAGGGCAGCTCTGTGAACGTAGGCATCCAATGCCCAAACTGGACATAACAGGTTCAGTTGTTCCTGATCTGGGGTATTAAAAGGTGGAGGATAAAAGGCCTGCAACACTATTGGGCCCCTAACATTAACTGGGACCTTAGGAATATAACCCGGTCTAGGGTATAGAAATGCTTTCACCATACCAGGTGCAAATTCCAGACATGACGGAGCAACCGACAGGGCATGCAAATCTCCAATTCTCTTGATAGATGAAATAGCAAGGAGAAATAAAGCTTTCAAAGTGAGGAATTTTTCTGAAACCTCTTCAATAGGCTCGAAGGGAGCCAGAGCCAGACCCTCAAGTACAATGGCTAAATCCCAAGCCGGTGCTCTAGAGTGCAGTGCAGGTCTCAACCTCAATGTACCACGGAGAAAACGAGTAATCAGAGGATCTCTCCCAAAAGAAGTACCCCCCAGAGGGGTATGATAGGCCGAAATAGCCGCCACATAAACTTTTAAGGTGGAAGGAGATAATCCAGCAGAGAAACGGTCTTGCAGAAAATCGAGAACTGAACCAACAGGGCAGTTAACAGGATCTAACTGACGCTCACCACACCAGGTGGAGAATAATTTCCATTTCAGTGCATACAGTCTTCTCGTGGAAGGAGCTCTGGAATGGAGAATGTCTCAACGACCTCAGTCGAGAGACTGGATTCTATGAGCCTGGCCCCCTCAGAGGCCAGGCCCACAGTTTCCACAACTCCGGTCGAGGGTGAAATATCGTGCCCCCTGCCTGGGACAGCAGGTCCCTCCTGAACGGAATCTCCATGGGAGAGCCGTCCAGAAGAGACAAAGTCCGAGAACCAAACTTGAGTCGGCCAGTACGGGGCTACTAGTAGCAGATGAGCCCCTTCCCGGCGAACCCTCTCCAGAACCTCCGGGAGCATAGATATCGGGGGAAATGCGTACAGGTGCAGCCTCGGCCACACCTGCACCATCGCATCCAGTCTGAGAAGAGCTGGCTGCGTGAGGGGGAACCATATAGAGCAATGCGTTGTACAAACGATGTGAAAGGTCGACTTGACTTTAGTTAGACCAAAGTTCTCCCTAAGAAGCTCCACCACCTCGGGGTGAAGTCTCCAATCCCCTGGGCCTCAGCCCCTGCCTCAACAGGATATCTGCTCTGATATACGAGACCATCAGTGTGTTGTCCGCCATTCGCCGAGCAACCACTCATGATCGCCCCCACTTGTGAGGGAAGCATCCGTCGATAGCAATATGCGTCGACAAGAAGCCCCCAACACTGGGCCTGGGCGAGGAACCAAGGTTCTTCCACATGACCGAAGCACGAAGGCATAGCCGCGTGACTTTGATCATGCGAAAACGTATTTCCCCTCGGAGAAAAACCCCTTGGTCCTGAGCCACCACTGCAGGGGTCTCATGAACAGAAGGCCAAAAGTAATACGTTGGACGCAACTGCCATGAGACCCACCCGTCTGAAACTGTTTAACAGTGAGTGACTGGCCTAGATATACCCCATTACGTCTGTAAGAATTGCTACACCTAGAAAAGTGGTCCTCAGAGCACACTCTTCTTGGCGTTGAGAGGCAACTCCAACATCCTTAATGAGACAGAACGACATCTCGATGCCGAACTGCCATAAACTCAGATTGAGCTAGGAACAACCAATCATTGATGTAGTATAATACGCGAATGCCCTGGAGTCTCAGAAGAGCCAGAGCTGCATCCACGCATACTGTAAAGGTGTGGGGTAATAAACCTAGGCCGAATGGAAGAACCCGATAATGGTATGCTTCGCCCCCGAAAGCAAACCTCGGGAACCTCCCTCATCCTCTTTTGGAAACAATGAAGTAATGGCTGTCTGCTGGGAGGAGGAACCCCTTCTACAGCTCCTTTTGCAGAAGTGACAGTACTTCCTGCTCCATAACCAAAGCCTGCTCGGGGTCCACCAATGAGAGGAGGACCCCTAGAAATCTGGGCGAACGAGAACCGAACTGAATTCTGAAACCCTTTTCTATAGTGTGCAGGACCCACTGAGAAATATGTGGCAGTAGTTTCCACGCTGCCAGAAATTTACTAGGGGAACCAGTCTCTCAAGACTGGCCTCTGGATTTGTTTGAACAGTCACTACGGCGCCCTGAAGCGGCGAACCGGCAGGGAACAACCGAACTGACCATTCTACGACCCTCCTCAGAGGATCGTATGGGGATGCTGACACCTCGGTGCCCTGAACGGCGAACCGGCAGGGAACAACCGAACTGGCAGCGCTGCAACCCTCCTCAAAGAGTTGCACCCCAGAGGAAAAACGATTTCTCAAAACCGTCCCTTGGTTGAACAGTCACTACGGTGCCCTGAAGCGGCGAACCGGCAGGGAACAACCGAACTGACCGCTCTACGATCCTCCTCGGAGGATCGTATGGGGACGCTGACACCTCGGTGCCCTGAACGGCGAACCGGCAGGGAACAACCGAACTGGCAGCGCTGCGACCCTCCTCAGAGAGTCGCACCCCAGAGGTCGCCGAGGAGAAACGATTTCTCAAAACCGTCCCTGCCCCGGAGGAGCCCTCAGAAGCCTGATAGCCTCGTTTTCTTGCGACAGGACTTCTTGTCTAAGCTTTATTAGAGATGATGACAGTCCTCAGATCTTGCCTACCTCTAACTAGCTTAGTTCCTACGACCCTCCTCGGAGGATCGTTGAAAAAAGCAGGCACTTCGGCGCCCTGAAACGGCGAACCGGCAGGGAAACCGAACTGACTGCTCTTCTTTTATTTGAAGGCTCGTTTGGGGACACTGACACCTTGGTGCCCTGAAACGGCGAACCGGCAGGGAAACCGAACTGGCAGTACTGCGACCCTCCTCAGAGAGTCGCACCCCAAAGGGTGCTGAGGAGAAACGATTTCTCAAAACCGTCCCTACCCCAGAGGGGACCACCCTTAGAAGCCAGATCGCCTCGGCGTCAGGGCTTCTCCTTTGTCAAAGCTATTTTAGAGATAAAAAAGTCTTCAGATCTTGCATGTCTCTAACTGGCTAGACTGCGACCGCCACCCAGGTACCCCTCAATTGCGGAGGAGCCCGAATGGCGACGCTCTGTTTTGCACTTTGTGCTGAGAGGAGCATAATAGTTCTCAGGAACATTAGATTGGTGAGGAAGAAACCTCTGGAACGCCGCTGAATGGTTTATTTCTTAGTTTTCTTGAAAGCGGAGCGTCCAGAAGAACAGACATAATTATATCTTTATTTTCCTTTATCTTTATATCAGAAAAACTTATATATATATACATATATATCACTCTGCGGCCACCAGCAGGAAACAACCGAACTGGCAGCGCTGCGACCCTCCTCAGAGAGTCGCCCCTCACATTCATCCATGTCCTTATATACTCTACCCACCAGCGCTGCCCAATAAAAATGTACTCATTATTAAGATGGCTGGTGGGTAACGTCGGGGTTAATAACGATAACGCCGACTCGGGAGAGAGAAAGCTCGCAAGCGTCTCTTTAACCCGAGGCAATGTCATACTATGATACTTAATACCCAAACATTACTATAGTCAGACATCTGGGGATTAAACACATAAAATACAAACCGGTTTATTCCACGATCTCGACACCTCAGTGTGGAGATAGGGAAAAACCACAGTCCCCGACGAGGAGGCTGAGATACAGAGTTTTCCTGTTTTAAGATACAGTTCATCTAACAAACTCTTCTTTATTTTCAATCTCATAATGTTCAGCTGGCCAGTAAATATTTAACTGGCAACAGCACTAGATAAAACCTCCTTTTTTTTCTTTAAAAAAGCTCCTCTTTATTCAACAGAGTTATGAGCTGGAAAATGTATTCATTGAAAACTCAAACATCTGCCTTTTTAAAAAGATTTGTATTTGTTTTCTTTCTTTTTAAACAAAACACTAACGATACCAATTCCTCGGAACTGGAAATCGCAGCACACTAGATCTGGCATGTGAAAGCTGAGAAAGGGCGGAGCCCGTCCCAACCCCCGCTGTCAGATCCGTTTTCGAACCCCGAAATACGAGCCGTCTCCGAGCCTCGGCAACAGAGAGACCCGCTCGGGGAACGCGAACCGAACCGTCCTCCTCGAAGAACGCCCGGCGAGAGCGGAGCGTCCTCACGGACAGCTTCTCGCAATGCACAGTCAG